AAAGAGAGGAGATGGTGTCAAGACAGGGCGTTTAGAAATCAAAGAAAATAATATACAAAAAAAAAAGTTTATAGTTTGCAGAATATTTAGATTTTGGATCATTCCATAGCCTAATATGATTTAAAACAAGATAAATAACGGTAAATTTCACACACAGCAGCGCACTTTGGTAGCGAATTAACACAGTGATTATAAAGAATAGAAGTGCTGATTTCCTCTCTTCAGACTGGGAACGCTGTCTGTCGTCAGCTGTATATGACCTAAGATACATAGGATTCATCTCTTGTTAGTTTAGCAGAGAGACACATGTCTGAAAATCAATTCAATGATCATTGTATTTCATTCCACTATACAATAAAAAAAAAAAAGTCTCATTCCAACATCCATCAGCAGAGCACAATTTAATATCAATTCAATTTACATCCATCTGAACCTGCCACATACTGTGTAACAGCCGCTCTCTGCTTACAACTAAACCCCCCTCACCATTAATTGAACTGAATGTGATTTTCAAAAATCAGATTACTTCTGAGAGGAGAGGCAATGGAGTGCGGATTAATTGATATAAGTGAAGTGATTAGTGATATTCATCATGGCCTCGTCAGCACAGGCAGATCTCTGCTCACTGCAAGATAATTCACTACCTCCTTTATTCACTGCATAACAGCCTAACATAGTGTGACCCAGGGAGGCTTAGCGGTGCTTCACTGGGTGCGGGCTCCTAAGTGGCTGAGTTGTGGTTTGCCATGTGCAACCCAAATTTAAATTGGCTGACAAAGACAGGCAATATTAAGATTCGATAGCATACAGTTCCATGATCAGCATTATCTGTCTGAAGCCATAATTTTTTGTTCCATTCCTCTCACTCATGCTAGTCTGGAGAGGGTCCATTATGTTTTTCCTGAATGCTTGCTGCGCTGATCAGGGCACAAATTGGATGAATCTTGAATGGGTTTCCCAGCAAATCCTGCAGCCCCTGAGCGGTGATGTCACGAGAGGGAAGGCAGGCCGGACAGATAGAGGCAGACCAAGATAGTCTCTCTCCCTCTACGTCTGCTGCCACTTCCTTCTCTTATCTGTGTTCCTGCTCTGTCTTGCATTTAACCCTGTTCCTTTAAAATCTTGCAGCTGTGTGTGTTCATGCATTTCCTAAAGGCCTTTTACATACATCCACAGCACTAAGGAGATCAGACAAACCTCGTCATGTTCTCTTCACTGACTGCTCTTGTCACCGCAAAAGTTCAAGTTGTTTGGTCATTCACCTTCATAGATTCTTACTCTCCTCTCCACTGAAGCAGAAACCCTCTCCAAATACTAACCTCAATCAGTTTGAAACAATTGAAACTCTAGT